CCCCAACCCCTGCCTCTGTCGTCACATGGTGTTCTCTTCGTGTGTCTTCTGTCTCTGTTTCCAAATCTCGGTCTTCTTATCAGGACAGCAGTCATGGGATCAGGGACCACCCTAACCCAGTATGACTTCATCCTACCTTGATTATATCTGCAAAGACTCTTTTGCCAAATGAGGTCGCATTCGCAGGCACCAGGTGTATCTTTTGGAGGGGCACAATTCTACCTGTACGGGTGGGAAGCAGGTTGGAGCGTGCACTGCACAGGAAATCATGAGCTACTTGGAAGTCCATGGGCAGGGAAGTGTTTTCCTACTGCAGTGGGGGACTGAGATGTCTATGTAGATGTTAAAACAAAAGCTCCCCCCAGAAAGCTAGAGAAGTCCATCTTCCAGGCGGCTTGGAAATCCCAACTGTCTTGGCAGGGTTTGCAGAGATAACCCTAGGTCGTCCTGCTTACCTGAACACACAAACACACGTCTTTAAGTGACAGACCATCAAGCCAGTTTGACAGAGTGCCGAAATACGTCACTTACTTTGGAATAATAAGACCTGGGTCCTCGCCTGGGCAGTGCGGCTCAGTGGATTGAGCATATCCCATGGACTGAGAGGTCCTGGTTCAATTCCCGGTGAGGGCACATGCCTGGGTTGCGGGCTCGATCCCCAGTAGGGGGCGTGCAGGAGGCAGCCAATCGATGTTTCTCTCTCACATCAATGTTTCTCTCTCTCTCCCCCTTCCTCTGTCTCTCTAAAACAAACAAACAAACAAAATCAATAAAAAAGCATATTTCAAACCTGGCTCTTGGGCAACCTCCACCATTAACAAAGTGCTAACTCCCAAGAGCTCCGATTTCCACCTTTGTAAAATGAGACGAATAATTCGGTGACTCCAGTCTGTCGCGCAGCCCGGCACCCTGCGACCTAAAGCCTGTGAAAACGGAAAGCATTATTGATGAAAGTCGCTGGGCCACATCCTAGCTCTCCAGTGGGGGACATTCACCAGGAACATTCCTGGAAACCCCACTCCTGCCGATATGGAGGTAAAGAGAGAAAGAGGAGGAGCCCGAGGTCAAGGGTATATTTTCTTCGCTTTGTTTACAAAAATCTAAATTCACATCCCCCTCTCAAGGTGTGGTTTGGGGGGTGGGGTAGGAGTGAGCTGTGGAACCACAGAGTCCCCAAGAGGCAAGGAAGCAGCCAGTAACCCGTCTTTAACAGGAGGAAGTGCAGGCACCCATGGAGGGGGTGCGAATGCAGGTTGCCCAGCGCTATTTCGCTATTTCATCGGGCAGCAATTCATCAATACACTGCCAGCGACCAGGTGTCAGGGGAGCCCCAAGCTTTCCTCTTGCCCTGGGCTCCATCATTTGTAAATCCAATGCTGACACCTCAGCGAAAATACCCAGAAGGCGTTCTCCGGGTGCTAGAGGCAACACAGAAAAGTATTTGAAAGATATTTTTTTAAATGATGACTTTTCCAATAAGTTTTTAATGCCAGACATATGTATTATTGACGGAAACTCGCGTGCTGAGCAGATTCTGAGATGTCGCTTCGGCTACCCCAGCTGGTGTGGGACCCATTCCAACAACTCTCTTCTACTCAATACATCTATTTCTAAGCCACCAGATGAATCTCCTTTGGCAGGTCGGGAGGAGAGGAATCCTGTCGCTTCCCGTCTTTCAGTCTATATTTTGCACAAGTCAACCAGGAATTAAGAATTAAACAATCACTTCCTCTCTCAGTTGTCAAATATTTCGCTGTGGGGAGGTGGCTGCCTGTCTGCAAACATGGTGTCCTTTCAGGGTTGAAGGAATGTAGGAACATTGAGAAACTCCTGAGGTACCCAGGAGAGCACAGGTCAGATGGGGATCCCGGGCAAGGTAATCAAAGAAGGTTCAAGTTCAAGATCAGGGGCAACTTCAGGGCCAGATGCAGGTCTGACCTCCCTACGTTTTCCACTCAACACTGACCTAGGTTGGGTTCCCCAGAAGCAGGCTCAGGAACAAGGTTTGGGATTTAAGTGGTTTATTTGGAAGGCCATCCAGGCAACACCAGAAGGGGAGTGGGGAAGCCAAACAGGAAAAGGGAAGAAGCCAGTGCTGGGTCACTGGTGAGCAGCGGATCGGGCTGCCTCCAAGTCTCCCCGAACAGGACCTCTGGGGACGTGCTCCAGAAATGTCCCACCTGAGGGGTGAGGAGGTGAGAAATCTATCCACACACTCCCATGAGTCTTTGACTTATGTCTACTCCTGTGGGTTAGAACGTCTGGTATGTCCAGGCTGCTCAGCTCAAAGACAGAAGCATTCTTGTAGCCCTGTGGTTCCCACACTGTGCAACAACGTACCCCATGGTGCCCCAGACAATCCACAGGAGAAGATGGGGACATTTTAAATCTTTGAGGAAGACGTAGTGCCATTTATCTAACATTGTGTGTGCTATTAGAGATAGCTCAGTGTTATGGGTTGATTTGTGTCCTCCCAAAATTTATACATTGAAGTCCCAACCCCCAGTACATCAGAACATGAGTCTCTTTGGTTGAACACCGCTGGTGCTGGGGAGCTCATTTTCTCCCTGTGGAACATATCCCTTCATGAACAGCATGCCTTGAGCCCTTCCCGGGTGCTGTGCTCTATACCTTCATCATTTCACCTGGTCCTCCCAACTCTACAAAGTGGGCCTAACCAGAGCTATTTATATACATGGTGAAATTCAGGCTCAGAGAGGTGTAGTGACTTGAACGAGATCTCATTACCAGTAAATGGCAGAGCCAGGATTTGAACACAGATCTTTTCAGTTTCAGAGGCCTTTCTAGTTGCTCTTCTCACATGGCTCTGACAGGTAGTTATCAATGAAAGAAATAAGAGTTAACATTTCTGAGCACTTCCTTTGGCTAAGCATTGTGTTTCTCGTGGATTAGCCATTTGGTTTTTTTCATAGTCCCCTGAGATTATCATTGAGGCTGCTTAGTGGCCAAGTCAGTCCGACTCCAGAGCTCATGCCTTTGAAAACAATGCTCTGCTGTGAATTTCCTCATCTTGAGCCCAAACCCTCTTCCACTGGGCTCATATCAAAGTAGTTGAATCCTTCTTCCCCAAGCCTGTCCCTCAAAACCATGTGAATACAGCCCTTTGTCTGTTCTGCTCGGGGCTAAACCTGTCTCCTTCGGTCTTGTTTTCTTATCCTTCCTGGCTCCAGCCCCATCTTCTGAACATGATTCAGTGAATGTGTGTCCTTCTGAAAGCGCTTGCCAATTGCTAATGCTGCCCACAAAGGATGCGGGAAGAAGCAAAACTTCCCGTGAAGGGGAAGGTCAGGCTTCGCTTTCAGACAAAGGCAAGAAAATAATGACTTCCAAGCGTCTGCCTCTGGAGCTGGTGGCTAGGCACTTTGTATTCTGCGGAGGGTCATCAGACGGCCTTCTAAAGAGAAGGTGAGGTCACCGTGTGGCCATGATGACATCATATTCCTCAGCAGTTCAAGGTTGAGAGATAAAACATGAGTCCGATTGATCCAGTGTGACAAAATGCCAAGGATAAATCATGCAAATCAGGGCACGTGTAGTAAATCTTCTGCAAGCTGGCAACCTACCCAACAGGGTTATTGAAAAGATTAAGTAAGTTAATGTACGTAAAGCACTTTAGTAGATCACCCGGCACAGAACAAGTGATTGACACACATCAGTATTAATATCTGCTGTGAAATGAACACTGCACTGTAAAAATGACTACTTTTTCTCGGGGACAGAGTGTCAGAAAATCATGATCATTGTCACTGAACTAGGACTGCTTGTGTGCTCAGCCTTTACACACACTATCTGTGTTAATCCTTGACCATCTGGGGTAGAGTTGTTCTCCCCATTTTAAAGCTCTGGAAGCCAAGGCTCAGCAAAATTAGCCTCTTCTCCGGAGTCAGGCAGTGCAGTTAGGGGGTTAAGACCTTAGTGTTTAGAAGTCAAACAGGTCTGGCTTCGAATCCCAGCTCAGGCACTTTGTGTGGGACTATGAGCATGGTGTTCAATAGCCCTGTGCCTCAGTTTCCTAGCCTGTAAAACAGAGTCGTAAAATACCTTCCTTAAAGATGTTTTATGAGGATTGAGTTAAGATATGGGAAACAGAGCAGTGTCTAGCACATTCTAAGCACTCAAATGTCATTCGTGTGTGTGTGTGTGTGTGTGTGTGTGCACGCGCGCGCGTTGAAGAATGAGTAGGAGTGTGTCAGGTGGATAAAGAAGATAAATGGGTACCTCAGGTTAAGGTAATTGCCGGGCTGAAGTCATACCCTGAGCTACCCAACCCAAGACACAAGAAATCACTAGTGGTAAGTGGCAGGACAGAACAGAATTTGAAAGAAATTAGTCACTTGTAGTTAGAGAGAAAGGGGAGAGACCTTCAGGCCTAAGAGGAGAAACTAGGGTTTGAAGAATGTGACCTGCTCCCAGCCACCGTCCCAGCAGCTTAGAGCTCGCAGCCCCGCCCCCATCAATCCCAGCCAATGAGGAAGCCCTCTTTGGCGTCTCGTTGCCAAGCAACCGAGCGGGTTCAGCCTGGCAGTTTACAGCCGTTTTCTCTCCCTTGTAGTGGGAACCTGAGCCGCACGCTGGAGCCGACTTAAAATGGGGACCTGGGGGCCCCGCCATGGGCCCCCCTCGGACTTTATCAGTGGAGTTTTATTTTTTTAGTTCATATTTTATTTTTGTTTATACAAGAGAAAGATACCCCTCGTCAAAGAGGAGGAAAGCTCATAAAAATTTGTAACTTTCAAAAAAGTGAATAATTCCAGGCTTTCCTCATCCACTCCACCTGGATTTCCTTACCCTGTTGGCGGGAGACCCAGATGACTTGCTTTCCATCACTCCTGGGTCAGAAACCTCTTTGGAGTCTGTAATTGGCACTTGGGGGTCAGCGGGAACTTGCCGGAGCTTCTCACACCAGTGGCTGCTGAGGTAGAAGATTCTGGAAAAACTCTAACCTTGGGGACACAGGTTAAGCCTGAAGGATTTCCAAGATGACCAAGGCTCCAGTCACCAAGAAGGTTCAGAGTATCTCCAATGCAGGGGCCCTCCAGCCCTTTTATGCATCAGGACATCTGTCAAAGGTAAGTTTCCCCTCTCTGCCAAAACCAGACATGTTTTCAAGACCAAGGGGAATAGGAATTAGCCTCTGGACCAACAAGGGGCAGGGGAAGAGAGAGGAGTTGTGTAATTTAAGTGTCGAGAGACATCCTCGTTGCTCTCAGTGGTGAGCTGGGCCATCCTATTAGCCGGTAATTCCAAAATGATGGGATGAATTGGCGGTGACACTGTAGAACATCAGGAAAAAAATGAAGATGAATTGAAGGTTTGCCGTTGCAGAAATTATTTTCAGAGATCCGCTGGGCTTGAGGTCCGCGCCCATTCTCTCTCTCACCTAGTGCACGCGCGGTGCCAAACCTTGCGTTTTGAAGCCCGACTTTGCTCCTTGCTGGTTACTGACATTAGACAAGTTGCTTAGCATCCCTGAGCCTTCATTTCTGTGTTTCCCAAGTGAGTACAGGAACGTCAGCTTGGCAGAAACAGTGCGAGGATGAAGGGGGGGAAGATACGGAAAGTGTTTGGCGCGATACTAACACTTGGTAATGGGGAGAAGTGACATGAAATGCCATTGTTGATATAATGATCAGAGTTAAGTGTTTCTGTTTTTTAAATGATCGGAACTGGGCAGGCCAGTTATGTCTTTGCTCAGTGTGTCTGTTATTGTGTGTCCTGAGATCACCACTGATTGGCCAAGGTAGGTGAACCATGCGGGAGAGGGTCAAAGGCCACACGGGCCCACTGTGGTACCCAAAATTCTGCCCCGGGAAGGAGGACCTGGGGGGGGGGGTCAGTGCACAGAAGAGAGCTTAAAATTCAGTCATGCTCACGTGGGAGTCCAAAGTGTTCTGAGCTTCTAGCTTCTAGGGATTAACACACCTCTATGCACCGCTCATAGTGAGCTCACTCTGCAAGGCACGGTCTTCACGTGTCTCCTTTCATCCCACAATGTCACGCAGAAGTGGCTTTCGCCCAGCAGCCCCCTCTGGGACTGAACAGGTGGGGAGAGGTGAAGGAGCGAAAGGACGAGGAGCAAGGTGGCAGTTTCAGAAGCAGAGGTGAGTGTGAGCATGGGCAGTGGGCACAAAGAGCCTGGGTTTGGACCCTGCTCTGCCTCTCAGCAGCCTTGTCACCTTGGGCAAGTCGTGGCTCTTCTCTGCTTCAGTGTTGCCATCTGTAAAGTGGGAGTATCCCAGTGCCCCCTCACGGGGGTGTTGTGAGCATGACACGATATGCCCAGAGCTCCTAGAACAGCTCCTGACACATAGTAAGCACGCCTGAGATGTTAGCTATATTGTGATTTCATTCGTTGAGCAAACACTTACTGAGCCCTTGCTATGTGCTCTTGGAACACATGAGACCTGCCTTTAAAAATGTCATCATCTATAGTGTGTATGTTGGGGATGGGGAGTAAAAGGGTGATTATAATGCAGGGTGATTAATGGTGTGCTGGGGACATATCACTGGGTGTTGTGGGAACTCAGAGAAGGACAGCTAACTCAGATTCATCTGTGTGTGTGTGTGTGTGTGTGTGTGTGTGAGAGAGAGAGAGAGAGAGAGAGAGAGAGAGAGAGAGATCCGAGGCCATATATTCAAGTAAATGCAATAGACTTTGCCATCTGAGAAGAAGAAAGCAGAGGAAGATAAAGAGGTTGAGTGGTTGGAGTGATATCTCTGTCTTGGGACAAAGGCTGGAGGGACTCGGGGAGGTCAGGAAAAGGGGAGGGGCTTCTGGAGAACTGATGGATCCACTCAGACCTCAGACACTTTGCAGTCCTGCTGCCCCTGCACCACTTTCTAGGGAAACAGGTAGACTTCCAGGATCATGTCTTTAGAAATTTCAACGTCTCGAGCTACTGGAAAGCACTGGCTAACCGAAACCAGGCTAATTAGACACTGACGAGCCACAGGGAAATATATAGAGATTAGGCTCGACCTCAGGAGCACATCAATCAGGAAGAATTGCTGTGGCGGTAATGACAGTCGCGTGTACTGAGTACCCACCGTGCGCCAGGTTCGGAGCTATGTCAGAGCCGCCTGCATGCAGCATGTCAAAGTACAAACAGCCACCTCCTCATGAGTGAGATGGCAACGCCGAGGTTCAGGGAGGACAGGTCCCTTCTCAGGGACACTCTGCCAGCAAGAAACAGGGCAGGTATTTGAACTCCATTCTGTCTGCCTCCAAAGTTCAAGCCCTCTCTGCCCCGCCATGCTAATCAAACAGTGACAGTTAGCATACGCCAGGGAGGTGACAGAAAGAAGATGTGATGTTCAATCACTGGCTTCAAATAGTTTTTAGGTTTGTTGGGGGTGAGGGGGTGACATATACAAAGAGAATAACAAATGTCAGGCAGCGGGTAACTGTCCAGTGAGACTTATTCTGGGGAAAGATCTGGCTTCACAGGGGAGGCGACGGAGGCCACGGTGGGCTGCACAGTGATGTCACTTACTACGAGTCCACCACCTGTTAGTGAACAGGTAAGACTTGGGGAAGACCCCAGCGTGGGTCCTGAGGCCCTCTGCAGCCAGCCATTTTCTTTCTCCAGAGACAGAAGTTGCGACATCGCAACGGATGTTGAACAATGGCACCCTGCCTTGCACAACATCCTCATGCAGTTTTCTTCAGTGGAAGGAATCTGAATAACACATGCGAATGATCTGCTTGAATGGCTTCTCTTGATGAAGCCTTCTGTGGGGCTCTGGCTCCCTGATCTGTGACACAGTCCCCTCTCCCTTGTCTCCCAGGATTGCCATGGGGGAGGGAGAGCGCAGGGCATGTGAAGACACCATGAACCCACATTTTCTTCCTTGGAAAAGTAAAAAAAAAAAAAAAAATAGAGAGGCACTTGGAACACCCCATCCATATTCCAGAATGGAAATGCAGAAATAAGATTTGGCAAAAACTCCAGAAAGGTGCAGAATTCTCTATGTAAGCTCCGTCTCTTGGTGCCTGGAGTTTCTATCTCACTCATTAAAAACCCCGACAGAGCCCTGGCTGGTTTGGCTCAGCAGTGAGAGCGTCAGCCCGAGGACTGAAGGGTCGTCGGTTTCATTCCCAGTCAAGGGCACGTACCAGGGTTACAGGTTCGATCCCTGGCCCTGGCGGGGTCGTTCGGGAGACAGCCAATCAATGTGTGTCTCTCACATCGATGTTTCTCTGTGTGTGTCTTTCTCCCTCCCTCCCATCACTCTATCTGGAAAAATCAATAGAAAAATAGCCTTGAGTGAGGGTTGACCCCTGCTCCAAAAAAAGAAAAGAAAAGAAAAGAAAAGAAAAGAAAAGAAAAGAAAAGAAAAGAAAAGAAAAGAAAAGAAAAGAAAAGAAAAGACCCAGACAGAAAAGGAACTTCCCTAATTTGGGGCGGATCCTAAGACAGCCAAGAGTCATACTGAGTGCTTTGCACATATCCTAGCTTAGAGATTAAAAGAGCAGATTCTTAACAAACTATGTGGGTTCAAACCCCAACTCTGCCTCTTTACTAGATGGCATAGCCCCAAAGAAATTGGTTTCTCTCTGTGCCTCAGTTTCCGTGTGGGGAACTGAACTGGCACACCTTATTTTATCTAATCTAAGACATCTTCCATTTCAAGATGCATCACAATTACTCTGTGCCACTAAGAAGAGAGAGAAAAAAAACCTCTACCAATTAAACTGTCACCTGTTTCAATGATAAAATGTGCCTGGCTTCAGAGATGTTACAAGGTGGGAAGAAACTGTATCTTAGAATAGATGAAATACGGCTAAACATACTCCTCACTCAGGGGGTTGTTGTGGGGATTCGATGAGTTAATATAGGTAAAGCTCTTAGGACAGAGCCTGGCACAGTGTAAATACACTATGATGTTTTATTTAAGCCTTTAATCGGCCCTGTGATAAAGGTGTTATTATTAACCCCCTTTTGCACCTGGCAAGACTGAGGCTTAAGGAGCCCCCAGAGCCTGGTTCTCTGTTAAGAGGTGAGTTGGCAGGTTTGGGGAGAAGGGAACAAATCAGGTGGAATTTTGGAGAGACCCTGGCCTGAGCTTCTCGGCCCCCAGCCCCGTGGCAAGAATGAGGATGCTCATAGAAAGTCTGACAAGTCCAGCGGTACATACGGCCAGGCTGCCCAGAGTCAGACGAGAACCCACCCTGGCCGGTTTGGCTCAGCGGTTAGAGCGTCGGCCCGTGGACCAGAGACCCGGGTTTGGTTCCCACTAAGGACGCGTACCTCGGTTGCAGTTTGTCCCCCGCCCTGGTTGGGGTCGTGTGGATGGCAACCACTTAATGTGTCTCTCTCACATCAATGTTTCTCTCTCTCTCTTCCTCCCTCTTTCCCTCCTGCTCTATCTGAAGATAAAATGCAAAAATGTCCTTGGGTGAGGATTAAAAAAAAAAGGAGAACCCACATACTATAGAAGGATTTCCCCGCAAAGAAACTTTGATTCCCAGCCCGATTTTCCATGGCAAACACAAAATGATTTTCCTCCTTGTCCAGACAGAAGAAGTCGTGGCCTGAAGAGGTACGTGTGAGTCATGGTCTTTGTTCAAAGGGGGCTCAGTGCTGGGTGACTTCGCTCGCCTCTCATCACCAAGGCCACGCCCCCTGCACAGAATCACTGATGACCCTAAAACAAATCCACCGAGACCACGCCCCCTGCACAGAATCACTGATGACCCTAAAACAAATCCACCGAGACCACGCCCCCTGCACAGAATCACTGATGACCCTACAAAAAAATACACTGAGACCACGCCCCCTGCGCAGAATCACTGATGACCCTAAAACAAATCCACCGAGACCACGCCCCCTGCACAGAATCATTGATTACCCTAAAAAAAATACACCGAGACCACGCCCCCTGCACAGAATCACTGATTACCCTAAAAAAAAAAAAATTCGCCGACCACATGAATCGATTCTGAAGAACCCCAGCCAGCTGCACCTTCGTTTTTCTACCCCTGATGACTTCGGCCAGGAAAATAGCAGCGAGTCCTTTTCTCTCTCCAGGGCGTCCTCTGGCTCCGCTGTTCCAGCGGGAGACAACT